TGTGGGAGCTGAGCATCATATGTAGAAGCAATATTTCTACCACCTTCTATATATAACAGTTTCCCACTATCATTGGTTCCTAAGAATGCCGCGGGTGTTGCCCCGTTCCTAGGAACCAATGATGTGACCAGGAATCCTGTCCATGTTAAACATAGGGGCAGGAATGGCACTGAACTCATTGCCCAATTACGGTGACTGGCCATGTCCATATCTGGTTGATGATGTCACCACCATCCCGGCCCCTTCCTGTATATAGCTAATGACAGCTCAGGGAGCTGTCATTCAGCTATGTGTTCCATGTGTGCTTTTAAAATGATACTGTTGGCTATTAGGTAAATAGGTCTCATATATATTGTTCATATGATTTTGTTAAGGGAATAAAGTAGCATAACCAATTTAAAGTTGAACTCTGGGACTTACCAAAAAAATCCCACCCTGCATGCCCTCCCCCCATCACCCTTGCAATGCAGGGGTCAAATGCATATTATTTCTAGGGTAAAGGAAAGGCTGTATATGTACAATGCCAGATTTATAGAGGAGGTAGCTGGGGACCAGTCACATATCATGAAGGAAGGCTGTGGGAGCATAGAAAAGGCTTTGCATTATGGGGAGGCCTCGCTTGGTGCCCCAAGTTGGATTTTAAAACTACACGCCCCCCTAACACTACCCTATCTACAGGGAGAAAGGCAGACTGACAGCATTGTCACTCTATTACCGAAAATTGAAAAATAACAAATCAGCTGGCAGGATCGACAAGTTATAACACTACTGGGGGACACATCATAATTGTAATTTTTTTTTGCCCAGAATTCGATTTTGCCCACTTGCCCTAAGTTCCATTTTATTTTCTGATGTCCTGCTTGGTAAAAAAGCTTGAGGTTTTCCGAAGGCACCTTAGAAAGAGGTCAGGAAAACAGAAAATGGCCAATTTATATTACAAACTCAGTTGGTATTTTTCTATTTTTTTTTTACGCAGACTTGTGTTTCCTAGAACATCTAAGAATGACACAAAACGTTGGAATATTCTCCAGGTCTGCTGAATCTGACTATTCCTGGTTAATGGACCAGCTAAACGAATGCTGTAAGGTTCTTCCATTCTACATATCTAATAACAATCGCTATGACCTGATAAAATCCCTCAACCAATGCCAATTCGCCGTATTGTATCACAGCAAAAACAGAGGCCGAATTAATATCACCGATGTCACCGATTCCCTCTACGATGACGAGATAGTCCTGCTGTCTGACAAACTTGGTAAGTCAAAAAGCCATCTTCAGGCCTAAACTGTCCGGCAGTCTTTTGATCCCTTCTAAACCTAATCACTGAAATCCCATATAAGATTTACAATGTTAGGGTTTGTCTCCGCAGTTAGCAAACAGGATATTTTGGAGGCATTTTTTCCTCCCCTAAAATGTCCCAAACCACCTCATACAACTGTAACAATGCAACTGATAGAAATAGGAAGATATAGCCTGGTCACCATACACCTGGCTACCGTACACCTCCATGATTAAGTCCCAGGAGAGGGGCGAAACACGTGGGGAGCATGGCTAGGAGGAATCGAGCCGAGGTTGCTTTTACCTGCTAACCACTTGGATTGGGCGAGGTGTGCAGTGGCAGGACTATCTCTCCCTATTTCTACAGTGTGCTTTGGGTCCAGACAAACCTTTCCCCAGCCTACACCCTCACTAGTCAGCGGCATTCAATTAATTGGACTTTGTTAGCCTGAACAGGGACTACTAAGCATTTATCGTGGGTCACAATGCAATTGATAGGTACAGAACCCATAGATATGGCAGCATTGTAGTGTAAAAAAAAATGCTAAGTGCCGCAGAAACGTCCAACTTCCTGACCCAAGGTTGGTCACGCACGTTTACAAAAAAACATGAGGTGCTTTTTTAAAGTGTGAGCGTTGAACATGTAACACCAGTGGTCCAAATTTCAATTCCAAAAATTGTTTTCAATATTTTTAAGTCCGTACCTTTTATAAAATAATACTACCGGTAAGCGCTTTGTGCACTTCCAGTTGTGGGGTGATCACTATATCCAAATTCTGGTTCTATACTGTCACCCCATCACATGCTCCTCTGGTGGAGACTACAAGCTGTTGTCCCGATACACGTTGCACAGGCATGGACCAAACTTGCCATCAGTTAGAAAGTCAGCCAAGAGGAATGATGTGCAGATGACATTACAGTGAGTGCAGGTGGAAAAGTGGGTGACAGAGGGAGGAGATCAAACCAATAGAATGAAAAGAGAAAAATAAAAGCAAAAGTGATATTCTATAAAAGAAAATAAACATAAAATTGTTTATGATGCACCATGGCACCAAGGCAAACTTTATTTATCTCACAGAAGTGTGTGTTTCTACCATGAAAAGGCCACTTGGTCAAGGTCAAGGATTCTCAATCCTCCCATATCTTGGTGTCACCTTGCTCACATAGCCAGGATATGCACTCAATGGTGCTGTCTACATAGGCCCCCCACTATTCATCACATAGCCAGGATATGCACTCAATGGTGCTGTCTACATAGGCTCCCCACTATTCATCACATAGCCAGGATATGCACTCAACGGTGCTGTCTACATAGCCCCCCCCCCCCCACTATTCATCACATAGCCAGGATATGCACTCAATGGATGCTGGCATACATAGGCCCCCCACTAGTCATGACATAGCCAGGATATGCACTCAATGGTGCTGTCTACATAGGCCCCCCCACTATTCATCACATAGCCAGGATATGCACTCAATGGTGCTGGCTACATAGGCCCCCCACCATTCATGACATAGCCAGGATATGCACTCAATGGTGCTGTCTACATAGCCCCCCCCCCCACTATTCATGACATAGCCAGGATATGCACTATATGCACTCAATGGTGCTGGCTACATAGCCCCCCCCACTATTCATTGTGATGATAAGCCACAAATGTGCAATTCAGTGGCATTGACCAACACTGACCTACAATGCGGCAGAAAGAAGGATGTCCCTTCATGCTGTATATATATTGTGGTCAGTATGGAATTACTACAAACAAATTATCCCCCTTGAAATTTCCACATATTGTCATATTACAACCAAAAATGTAAATGTGTTTTATTGGGACTTTTTGTGATAGATCAACACAAAGTGGCACATAATTGTGAAATGGAAGGAAAAAGTTATCTGGTTTTCAAAATGTTTTACAAATAAATATCTGAAAAATGTGGTGAGCATTTGTATTCAGCAGCCTTTATGCTGATACCCCTAACTAAAATCTAGAGGACCCATTGCCTTCAGAAGTTATCTAACTAGTAAACAGAGTCCACTTGTGTGTAATTTAATCTCCGTATAAATACAGCTGTTCTGTGAAGCTCTCAGAGGTTTATTAGAGAACCTTTAGATTGTAAACTCCATGAGCCGGGCCCTCTTATTCCTTCTGTACTGAAATGTATTGTAATTGTATTGTCTCCCTTATATTGTAAAGCACTGCATAAACTGTTGACGCTATATAAATCCTGTATAATAATAATAATAATAATTAGTGAACAAACAGCATCATGAAGGCCAAGGAACACACCAGACAGGTCAGGGATAAAGTTGTTGAGACATTTAAAGCAGGGTAAGGATATAAAAAATATCCCAAGCTCTGAACATCTCACAGAGCACTGTTCAATCCATCATCTGAAAATGGAAAGAGTATGCCAGAATTGCCAACCTACCAAGACATGGCCGTCCACCTAAACTGACCGGCTGGACAAGGAGAGCATTCACCAGAGAAGCAGCCAGGAAGCCCATGGGAACTCTGGAGGAGCTGCAGAGATCCACAGCTCAGGTGGTAGAATCTGTCCTTAGGACAACTATTAGTCGTGCACTCCACAAATCTGGGCTTTATGGAAGAGTGGCAAGAAGAAAGCCATTCTGTAATGTACAGCGCTGAGCCTATTGTTGTAAAGAAAGCCATAAGGAGCCCCGTTTGCAGTTTGTGAGAAGCCATGTGGGGGACACAGCAAACATGTGGAAGAAGGGGCTCTGGTCAGATGAGAACAAAATGGAACTTTTTGGCCTAAAAGCAAAACACTATGTGTGGTGGAAAACTAACACTGCACATTACCCTGAGCACACCATCCCCACCGTGAAACATGGTGGTGGCAGCATCATGTTGTGGGGATGCTTTTTCTTCAGCAGGGACAGGGAAGCTGGTCAGAATTGATGGGAAGATGGATGGAGCAAATACAGGGTAATTTTAGAAGAAAACCTGTTAGAGTCTGCAAAAGACTTGAGACCGGGGCGGAGGTTCCCCTTCCAGCAGGACAACGACCCAAAACATCCAGCTAGAGCTACAAAGGAATAGTTTAGATCAAAGCATATTCATGTGTGATAATGGCCCAGTCATAGTCCAGACCGAAATCCAATGGAGAATCTGTGGCCAGACCTGAAAATTGCTGTTCAGGGAGGCTCTCCATTCCATCTGACAGAGCTTGAGTGATTCTGCAAACAATGGGCAGAAATGTCCCTCTCTAGATGTGCAAAGCTGGGAGAGACATCCCCAAAAAGACTTGCAGCTGGAATTGCAGTGAAAGGGGGTTCTACAAAGTATTGACTCGAGGGGAGGGGGAGGCTGAATAAAATGCCGCCACACTTTTCACAGATTTTTTTGTAAAAAATGTTGAAAACCATTTCTCATTTTCCTTCCACTTCACAATTATGTGTTACTGTGTGTTATGTTTTGCTCCATCACATCCAATCCCAATAAAATACATTGATGGTTTTGGTTGTAACATGACCAAATGTGGAGCATTTCAAAGGGGGTGCATACATTTCAAGGCACTGTAGATAAATGATAGACCTGACCCCTTCCCTTTGTATTACAGGACAAAATAAAGTCATAACAGTCATTGATGATCTGGAGGACAGCAGTGAGGAAGTAAAGCAAAGAATCCGGAGCAGTCAGCCCACCCTTAAGAACAAGACTCGTGACATTTTCCTGTTCACCAAAACAGAGAAGCAAAACAAGCAAAAACTGAGAGAGAAAGTGCGGCCGATAATTGACCTGATCCAAAGGGGTACGTTAAGGGTTCCACAACACATTGATCAGCCTAAGATCAGCCATGAACCAGAACAAGGTACTAAAAATCCACAAATATACTCATTTATGCAGAAAGTGGGCACAGTTGTGAAAGTTGCCTTTCAATGGATATCAGCAGGTCTTAAAGTGGAGCTTTGCTCTCCTCCCCCATCAGTGAAAAGATGTCAGTGAGCTCCCATGCTGGTGCTGATGCCTTCACCTGGTCTTCTTCTGGGTTAGGGATCCTCAGTCATCTTGAGTGGCTGTGCCAATGTGATGTAACTCCCACGCATGCGCCGTGTAGTGTACTTTTTTGGATAAACAGGCAGGTAAAACTTTTTTATTGCAATCGAAAAATAGTATGTCTGTTCTGCAATACAAAAAAAACTGCCTGCTCACTCATTTTTATATGTCATGTAAAACTCCACTTTAACCCCTTAGTGACGGAGAGGAAAGCAAATATTAATGCCTGAACAAAATTTTTCAACTTTGACATGGGTTAGTAAAGGGGGAGTCAGATCGAGAGAACGCAGAGCCTGATCCTCCCCCTCCCCTTCCTGTGTGTGTCCCTGTCCATGTCTTTCTGCCCCCTGCTGATAGAATGATATGGTTGGTGAGGAGGGAGAGCTGGGAGAGGAGACACAGACATGGTGAGCAGTGGCCGCACTCTGTGATAGACCTGGTTGGACCGTGGTCGCCGCTTACCTCCAACTGTGCGGCCTGATCATTAACAGGCCCCGGATTTTGTGGCCCCGGCCCACCTGGCAAATGCCCAGTGCGCCCTACGGGACAGTCTTACCATCATAGAACAACCCAAAATAAATTCTCCTGTTCCTGACACCCGCAGTGATACCACCTGTGTGTATGCTATTTGTTATTAGTATCTATACTGCGGCCCAGAAACAATAGCGGCCATTTTGGTATTTTTATCCTACCTAAAACACACTGACACTGACACTAACTGACACTGATAATAATTAAAAAAATTGCTTTTTAAAATCCAATCCAAAATATACTGACCCTGATCTTTGACCCTTACCTTGACCCTATCACTAACCATAACCCTTCTGTTTATTTACATCTTTCTCTCCTGCAAGGAAACACATATACAGTGTATCTTTCTCTCCATTAAGAGGAGAAAAAACAACAGGGATAGACTGATCACTGTGATGGCCAATCAGACGCTATCACAGTGATCAGGTGACCTGGAACCAGGAGTCCCCAGTCCCGATCGTTAGTGCCAGACTTGGGGCTCTCGGTAAGAGCCTGATCTCTGTGTTGGGAGCGCACTGTGCGGCGCACTTCCAGCACAAAGACGGGTCTGCATATATGCGGCCCCACGGATACCTTGCATGTATAGCTGTCTTTTTTTACGTTTTGGATGAAGATGATGAAGTGTAAAACTCCTGCCCGTTTCTGTGTCCCCATTGGGTAGATTCACTCTCTTTATTTGGCCAAGTCACCATTGTCACTGAGTCAGAAAGTCATAGGAAATCCAAACTTTTACAGTTGTCACCACTGCAGAAGGAAAGCATAAATCTTCCAATGGTGACACAGGTTCTTGTAACAACTGTCTAAAGCAGTGTTTCTCAGCTCCAGTCATCATGGACCCCCAACAGGTCATGTTTTCAGGATTTCCATTATTTTGCACAGGTGATTTGATCAGTTTCACTGCCTTAGTAATTACCACAGCTGTTTCATCTGAGGGAAATCCTGAAAACATGACCTGTTGGGGGTCCATGAGGACTGGAGTTGAGAAACACTGGTCTAAAGCAAGGTTCACACCTATGCAGTTTGCATTTGATCCATTTTTGCACATCATTTTTGATGCATTTTTTATTATTATTATTTATTTTATTGTTGCTAGGCAGATTAAAATGCAAAATGCATCAAAAACACAGCAAAAAATGCACTACATGCTTTTCTGCAGCATTTCCATTGAAGTCTAAAGTACACAAAAAGCAACGGGTGAAAACGCAGACATGTGAACGTATCCCATAGGAAATTGTGTTAAATGGAATCCTGTGCGTTTTTGCAAAACGCTGCGGAAAACATGTGAACCTAAGATTAGATGGCATTTACCTTCACATTTTAGGGATTTCCGCCATTTTACTGTTGCAGGAGAGGAAGTGAAGGGAAACATTCCCTATCTTGGTTGGATCCAATGCTTTTGAGGCCAGAGGAGAGATCTGAGGTCTCATAGACCCCATATCTCTCCATAAAGAGGACCTGTCATGAACAAGACACGTGCTATCACAAGGAATGTTGTTCATCCCTTGGCAGTCGAAACCACACATGTGAGGTATCACCGTGAACATTGGAACAATAATTCCATCACCACACCTCCTGTGTAACTCTAAGCTGGTAACCTGTAAAGGCTTTTAAGGCATTGCCTATGGAGATTTTAAGGTACCACAGTTGGGCGAAGTTCCACGGAGATACACAATTTTAACGTGTGATATGATTGGTATCTATTTACGGTGTAACATCATCTTTTATATTTTACCAAATAATTGGGTGTTATGTTGTGTTTTTTGTGCATTACAATACATGGGTCGCTCTCAGGACCTCAGTGACTCCAAGTGTGGTCCCGTGATAGGTGGCCACCTGGGCAATAAGTCCATCCGTGACATTTCCTGGCTACTAAATATTCCACACTCAACTGTTAGTGGGATTATAACAAAATGTAAGCAACTGGGAACAACAGCAACTCGGCCACCAAGTGGTAGGCCATGTCACAGGACCGCGGGGGGTCAGCGCATAGTGTGCAGAAGTCAATAACTAAAGACCTCCAAACTTGGTTTGGCCTTCATATTAGCACAACAACAGTGCATAGAGAGTTTCATGGAATGGGTTTCCATGGTCGAGCAACTGCATCCAAGTCTTTCATCACCAAGTGCAATGCAAAGCGTGGCTGCTGTGGTTTAAAGCATGCCACCACTGGACTCCAGAGCAATGTAGACATGTTCTCTGGAGTGACCAATCATGCTTCTCTGTCTGGCAATCCGATGGACATGTCTGAGTTTGGCGGTTGCCAGGAGAATGGTACTTGCCTGACTGCATTGTGCCAAGTGTAAAGTTTGGTTTAGGGGGGATTATAGTGTGGGGTTGTTTTTTTCAGGGGTTGGGTTTGGCCCCCTAGTTCCAGTGAAGGGAACTCTTAAGTCGTCAGCATACCAAGACATTTTGGACAATTTAATGCTCCCAACTTTGTGGGAAGAGTTTGGGGATGGCCCCTTCCTGTTCCAACATGATTGCACACCAGTGCTCAAAGCAAGGTCCATAAAGACATGAATGAGCGAGTTTGGGGTGGAGGAACATGACTGGCCCGCACAGAGTCCTGACCTCAACCCAACAGAACACCTTTGGGATGAATTAAAGTGGAGACTGCGAGCCAGGCTTTCTTGTCTGACATCAGTGCCTGACCTCACAAATGTGCTTCTAAAAGAATGGTCAAACCTTCCCATAGACACCCTCCTAAACCTTCTGGACAGCCTTCCCATATGGCCTTCTCTAAAACAGCATCTTACGTGATAATCATATTTTTGTAGACTTGCTCCCGACAATCTTCTGGAGAATAGGAACCATGTCGATCATCTCCTCAAAAGTCATGTTGATGGCTTTCTTCCCTCTTCTTCTGGTCACTCTTCTTGTCTCCAGACTTTCTTCAACCCTCTCAAGCTCCTCCACCTCTTCTATCTCCGTTCTTCAGCAGGAGAACTTGACATGTGCTCTTTGGTGGCCATAATGTCTTTAAATGGGCAGACTGCAGACCTGTCAGTATATTTGCTCGCCCATACAGGATGTACAGGATGTACAGGATGTATGGGATGTACGGGGTGTACAGAATGTGCGGGGTGTACAGGATGTACAGGATGTACGGGGTGTATGGGATGTACGGGATGTACGGGGTGTACGGGGTGTACGGGGTGTATGAGATGTACGGGATGTACGGGATGTATGGGATATACAGGATGTACAGAGTGTAGGGGGTGAATGAGATGTACAGGATGTATGGGGAGTATAAAATGTACGGGATATATGAGCAAGCAGATACACTGACAGGAAGATTCAATGAACTACCACTGCACTCTACAGCCGCTAAGGCTTTCAGGACTTAGTCTATCATTCACAGAGGACTGTGAATGTGTGAGGCGGCCATGTGGGGGGAGAAGATCCCCCGTTAGATGTCAAAGCGGGGAGTGGAGTGGAGGCCGGTCTGATCATAACATGTTACAACTTGAATATGTGTGCAATATGTAACATGTTATGAAAGGTGAACGTATCCTTTAAGCAAAAGGTTTTCCATGGGGAAGATAGGTTGTGTTTGTTGCCGTCAAACACCACCAAGCTTTATTTCTGTTTCTATTTCAAGGACTGTTATGTTATTTAAAGTGAATTAATTTATTTGTGAATAAAAGTCTGCAATGGTAATTTTGACTCCAAATCTGGTTCTGTTCCTTTATTGTATATTTGGGTTTGGGGGGGACGGCCTGGGGATGGGTTGGAGGGCATCTATTCTACACTTGTCATGGAAATAGAGAGAGTGTGAGGAAGAGGAAAAGAGAGGGGGAAGAAGAGGGAAAGAGAGGGAAGAAGAGGGAGGGAGGGAGAAAGAGAGAGAGGGGGGGGGGGGGGGAGAGTGAAGATAAGATAGAGAGAGAAGAGAAAGAGAGAGGAAGAGTGAGGAGAGAGAGAGAGGGGGGGGGAAGACGTGGAAAAGAGGGAGAGGGAAGAAGAGGGAAATAGAGGAAATAAGAGGGAGAAAGAGAGAGGGAAGAAGAGGGAGAGAGAGGGAAAAAGAGAGAGAAGGGAGAGAGGAGAGAGAAGCAGAGAGAGAGGGAAGAAGAGGGAGAGGGGGGGGGGGGAGAAGAGAGGGGAAGAGAGAGAAGAGGGAAAGAAAGGGAAGAAGAGGGGGAGAGAGGAAAGAAGAGGGGAGAGAGAGAAAAAAAAGAGGGAGGATAGAGAGCTAGGGAAAGAAGAGGGAGAGAGAGGGGGGGAGGAGAGAAAAAGAAAGAGAAGGAGAAAGAGAGAGGGAAGAAGAGGGAGAGAGAGGGAAGAAAACGGAGAGAGGGAGATGGAAGAAGAGGGAGAAAGAGAGGGAAGAAGAGAGAAAGAGAGATGGAAGAAAACGGAGAGAGAGAGATGGAAGAAGAGAGGGAGAGAGAGAGAGATGAAAGAAGAGGGAGAGAGATGGAAGAAGAGGGAGAGAGAGAAAAGGAACTCATAATAGTAGTCAGGCTTGAATGAATACAGAGACATATCAAATCTCCTAGATTATAAGCTCCAAGGATCAGGGCCCTCCTAACCCTCTTGTATTGAACTGTATAGTTGCTGTATTGTCTCCCGTTATATTGTAAAGCGCTGAGCAAACTGTTGGCGCCATAAATCCTGTATAATAATAATAATAATATACAAACACACTCTGCAATGTTTCTGCTCCAGTTTTTGTTCCTGTTTTCTTATTTTGTTCCTTCAGTTGCATTATGACTATTTTATTGTTATATTTCCATTCTAGCTAAATTGGGGCCCATCCCACGTCACTATGTAAGTACCTGTTTGTACATTTACACCTAGGAAAGGCATAGTGCCAGACAATCAACTTGCAGCTATGGGATTAGGGATCAGACTACGTAAAAGTTCAACGTCTTCCTTAGCACAGGAAGTGAGATAAAATTGCCCCAGCAGGCACTCTTGCTGACATTTTTTGCTCTTCCCTACTTCACTGCTGCCTTAGTTCTTATTAAAGATGTTCATGACAGAAAAATTAATTTTGTTTCTATTCCATTTGATAAGTAAATAATTTAGTTTCATCATAATCGTTATGTTGGAACGATTCCTTTTGGAAACGATTCGTTATTTCAGGAAAGTATATATTCGTTGTTCGGAATCAATTCATATTTTCAGAAGTTCTGTTATTCTTTTGTTATATCTGAAGATTGGCTTTATTAGCTTTAACATATTCAATTAATATGTTTTCATTCATTAAATTAATTCCCCCATTCCCAACTGACCTTGTTTGTTGGGTGTCCCACATGCAAATTAAATGCGGTGAAATAGGTGGCACGTGGAGAGGAGAGACATAAGATGTGAAGGAACATAAGGGACAAGTAGAGAGGAGGAACATAAGAGACATGATAAATGGAGGGATTTAAGGTGGAAAGGGCATGTGAGGTGGAAAGACATAAGGGGTAGAGGAACATAAGAGACCTGAAGGGTGGAGGGACATGTGAGGTGGAAACACATAAGGGGTGGAGGAACCTATGGGGCATGGAGAGTAGAGGAACATAAGAGACCTGAGGGGTGGAGGGACATGAGGGACATGTGAGGTGGAGAGACATAAGGGGTAGAGGAACATAAGGGTCATGGGGGTAGAGGAACATAAGAAACCTGAGGAGTGGAGGAACATGGGGGACATTTGAGGTGGAGAGACATAAAGGGTGGAGGAAGGTAAGGGACATGAGGGGTAGAAGAACATTAAAAAGACCGAGGGTTGGACATGGGGGGCATGCAAGGTGGAGGGACATAAGGGATGAAGGATCTTAAGGAATATGAGGGTAGATGAACCTAAGAGATATATGTGGTAGAGGAACATAAGAGACATGAGGGATGGAGGGACTTGGGGGACATACAAGGTGAAGAGACATAAGGGGTGAAGTAACATAAGGAGCATGAGCGATGAAGGAATATAAGAGACATGGTGGATGGAGGGACTTGTGGGACATGCAAGGTGGAGAGACAAAAGGAGTGAAGGAACATAAGGAACAGGAGGGGTAGAGGAACCTAAGAGACATGATAGATGGAGGGACTTGGGGGACATGGGATTGGGATTGCGAAGTGTAAAGACATAAGAGGTGAAGTAACATAAGGAACATGAGCGATGAAGGAATATAAGAGACATGGTGGATGGAGGGACTTGGGGGACATGCGAGGTGGGAAAACATAAGGAGTGAAGGAACATAAGGGACATGAGGGGTAGAGGAGCCTAAGAGACATGATGGATAGAGGGACATGGGAGACATTTGGGGTGGAGGGACATGGAGGACACATTCACTATCTTTTACATAAACTGTATGTTTTATTCTGCAGGTACCCGTCATATTCTTGTTTTCTTTGTGGATCTTCTTTTCTATTGGTGAAAACTCTCTCCTGTATTCTGTAAGTATCTAAAATTATATTTCCAGCAGTAGGCTTTTAAAACAATTGTGAGCAAAAGAAGATCTGTAGCTCAAACAGCTCAACACACACTGCAATGTCAAGAAGTCATTGATTTGCCAAGTGATATAGATGAACTGTTGGTGATGGCCAACAAATAGAACATTGGTTGTGTTCTAAAGAATGGAAACTATATATAGCCAAATCTGATTACAAATGGAGCCGCATAGTGCTGCATGCTGATTTTTGACAGACTGGTCACGTGATTGGTGTGTCCATATGCTGTTCCCATTTTGCTGGGGAGATGTCTTGTCTTCTCTTTTTTTAATCTTGGCAGCCACCAACTATTTTTTTTTCATTTGTGGCTGAATATTCATACTACGGAGCATTCCTGTCATCTACTTTGAATGGACCCTAAAGCCTTATACTTTTTTTCACTTAAAATTAGTGGGAACCTCCATGGTGACCTTTGTGCTGCAATAGCCTGAACCCTCTCAGGAAGTATGACGATTATGTAACCATTGGTCCCATGCAACTATCGTGGGTACATCCCCCTAAAGAAGATTTGTATCAAGAATTGAAACGTGTCGGGGTTTTCATATGCACTATTAGGCTCATGTGTTTCACTCTGGTTTTCATACATGGCTATGGCCAGTCTCTATTCTGTTTTTATGCGCTGTGCTTTTAGAAAGAATTATAATAGATGTTTAATTTTTAAATTTTGTCTGATGTTTTCTGGTGCCTTTAAAATCCCAGTTTGTTTGCTATCCTTCTGTTCACTTATAAACAATGGCACCTCCGCTGGAATATGGCAATAAGGAATAAAAACATCCACCAATTTCCATAAATGATGTCATTAAAGATGCCCCCATACATCATCTGATGATCAGCATTAGACATGTGCAGCTTCGTTATTTAGAGATTTAGATGTTTCCGAATGAAATAAACCTGGAATAGCAAAACAAAATGTTGTCCTAAATTCGAATCCAACTCCAAATTGAATTTGAATTCAATTAAAAAATTAAATCTAATTTGAAAACAAATTTTAAATATAAACATATTGCCGACTATTGCTGATTCTTTAAAGACTATGTGCATTAGTGTTAGAAAAGAATAGAATTGAAAATAAAAGGAATAGAAAATAATATATCAGAAAAAAATAAAATAGATTTGAATAGAATAGAATGAATATAGCTGTTTTCCCAAATTCGAATTTCGAAAAGAATAGAGTAAAACAGAAAAGAATGTAATAGAAAATAAAAGAATAGAAATATAGATCAGAATGGAATGGAATAGAATAGAAAAAATAGAATATAAAATAATAGAATAAAAAAGAATAGATTTGAATAGAATATAAAATAATAGAATAGAAAATAAATGAATAGAAAAGAACAGAAAAATAAAAAAGACTAGAAATAATAAAGCCGTATTCTAAAATTTAAATAGAATATAATACAACAGAATATAATAGAAAATAATAGAGTAAAACAGAAGAGTATAGACAGAATAGAAAATAAAATAATGGAATAAAATAGTATAGAAAATAAAGGAATAGAAAAAAAAAATAGAAAAGAATAGAATAGAAAATAAAGGAATAGAAAATAATAGAAAAGAAAAAATAGAATCAACTTGAATAGAATAGAATAGCATGAATATAGCCATCTTCCAAAATTTGAATTTTGAGAAGAATAGAATAAAACATAATAGAATAGAAAATAAAAGAATAGAATAAAATAAATTAGAAAATAAAAGAATATAATAGAAAAGAATAGAAGAAAAATAGAATAGAAGGGAATAAAATGGAAAGAATATAACTGTCTTTCAAAATTCGATTTTTGAAAAGAATAGAATAAAACAGAATTGCATATAAAAGCATAGAGTAAAACGGAACATGATTTTGCGAACCCGTGCCACCTTGTAGCAGTATTTCTGCTCAGAAGCGGTTAAAGATAACAAAAGGAGTCGCCATGATGCTGGTCGGTGTGATCCCTCCAGAATGTCTAATCTACATCTCCTCTTCCTCACAGCTCTCTGTGATAATTACAATCCTCCTGAAAGGGTCCCTGATGTCCCGTTTGATGATCTTCAGATGTGTGAGTATGTCTCCAGGATGGTGGTGGGACCAATATTCTCTGGGTGGGAATCCGGAATTCAGGGAAGCAAAAAATTGTGTGAAATCGACAAAACCTTCCCCCATACAATAGAAGGCTCACTCATCTCCCTGGTATCATCCTGCTGATCCATGGCTAGGGGTGAGCGAAATGGAGAGTTTATCTGTGAAAATCGAGTTTTCTCTGCAGTCTTCTGCCATATACTGTGGGGGGAAATGCATTGGAGCCAATGAAAAGTAAAATTAACCCTTTCAATACCAGGGATACTGTGATTGGCCATTCACTGGGATCTGGGATTTAGAACAATTGAAGTTAAAAAAATTGAGTTTAGTGACACATTGGTTACAGAGCAAGCCCAGTGTGTTCCCCAGGCTTGCGCATGAGGGGGCGGGGTTCTGGGAGGAGGTCTATAAACACCCTCCCAGAACTAGACGGACGCACTGTAGCTGTCTTTCGGCCGTAGTATGGTTGGCAAATCATTAGTGTGGATTTTGGTGGTTTTCTGAGATACGATGGGCTTTAAACGAATTTGGAAAGCTATGGAAGCTTCTTTTACGTACCAAGGACCTGTTCATATGACAAAAAACCTGTAGTTGAGCCATGTTTTACCATCCTCAGTCCCTACGCCCTTTAGCTGCAGAGGCAGCAGCCAAGGGTGTAAATGTGGAAGGAGGAGTTATATACAGTGGGGCAAAAAAGTATTTAGTCAGCCACCAATTGTGCAAGTTCTACCACTTAAAAAGATGAGAGAGGCCTGTAATTGGCATCATAGGTAGACCTCAACTATGAGAGACAAAATGAGAAAACAAATCCAGACAATCACATTGGCTGATCTGGAAAGAATTTATTTGCAAATTATGGTGGAAAATAAGTATTTGATCACCTACAAACAAGCAAGATTTCTGGCTCTCACAGACCTGTACCTTCTTCTTTAAGAGGCTCCTCTGTCCTGCACTCATTACCTGTATCAATGGCACCTGTTTGAACTTGTTATCAGTATAAAACACACCTGTCCACAACCTCAAACAGTCACACTCCAAACTCCACTATGGTGAAGACCAAAGCAAACTCCACTATGGTGAAGACCAAAGAGCTGTCGAAGGACACCAGAAACAAAATTGTAGACCTGCACCAGGCTGGGAAGACTGAACCTGCAATAGGCAAGCAGCTTGGTGTGAACAAATCAACTGTGGGAGCAATATTTACAAAATGGAAGACATACAAGACCACTGATAATCTCCCTCGATCTGGGGCTCCATGCAAGATCTCACCCCATGGGGTCAAAATGATCACAAGAATGGTGGGCAAAAATCCCAGGACCACACGGGGGACCTAGTAAATGACCTGCAGAGAGCTGAGACCAACGTAACAAAGGCTACCATCAGTAACACACTACGCCGCCAGGAACTCAGATCCTGCAGTGCCAGACGTGTCCCCTGGCTTAAGCCAGTACATGTCTGGGCCCGTCTGATGTTTGCTAGAGAGCATTTGGATGATCCAGAAGAGGATTGGGAGAATGTCATATGATCAGATGAAACCAAAATAGATCTGTTTGGTAGAAACACAACTCGTCGTGTTTGGAGGAGGAACAGAGAGAATGCTGAGTTGCATCCAAAGAACACCATACCTACTGTGAAGCATGGGGGTGGCAACATCATGCTTTGGGGCTGTTTCTCCGCAAAGGGACCAGGACGACTGATCCATGTACAGGACAGAATGAATGGGGCCATTTATCGTGAGATTGTGAGTGCAAACCTCCTTCCATCAGCAAGGGCATTGAAGATGAAACGTGGCTGGGTCTTCCAACATGACAATGATTCCAAACATACCACCCGGGCAACAAAGGAGTGGCTTCGTAAGAAGCATTTCAAGGTCCTGGAGTGGCCTAGCCAGTCTCCAGATCTCAATCCCATAGAAAACCTTTGGAGGGAGTTGAAAATCCGTGTTGCCCAGCGACAGCCCCAAAACAGCACTGCTCTAGAGGGGATCTGCTTGGAGGATGGGCCAACATACCAGCAACAGTGTGTGCCAACCTTGTGAAGACTTCCAGGAAACGTCTGACCTCTGTCATTGCCAAGAAAGGATATATAAAACAAAGTATTGACATGAACTTTGATATTGACCAAATACTTATTTTCCACCATAATTTGCAAATAAATTCTTTCCAGATCAGCCAATGTGATTGTCTGGATTTGTTTTCTCATTTTGTCTCTCATAGTTGAGGTCTCCCTATGATGCCAATTACAGGCCTCTCTCATCTTTGTAAGTGGGAGAACTTGTACAATTGGTGGCTGACTAAATACTTTTTTGCCCCACTGTATCCCCTGTGGCTTTCGCAGGGTGCTACCATCCACCAACCATGAACAATTCAGGTGAGTTGGGCCACTCTGCAAGCACCCTGCTACCGCACACAATGCATGCAGTTGCAGCGGGCTAGTGTGGGATGCAGCATTTCCTCACCACCTGCTTTAACCCCTTGGTGGCTGTACAGCACATGGTTGCAGGGCGCTTTGTGAATACAAAGTTAGAACAAAGAGCAAAAGTGAAATTCTGTGTGAAACTGGGCAAATCTGCCACCGAGACATTTGACGTGAGTCACCACAATTATGGCGATGCTGCAATGGGTCGTTCGAGGTGTTTTGAGTGGCACGTTTGCTTTAAAACCGAAAGAACATCACTGGAAGACAATAGATCAGGATAAACTTCAATGAGCTCAACCCCTGAAAATGTCAAAACGGTTCGGCAACTTGTGCATGATGATGGTCGGAGAACAATCCACAACCTTGCTGCCATTGTCGGTGTGTCATACAGAACGGTTCAGGCAATCCTCAGGTGTGATTTGAACATGCCCCATGTCACTACCAAGTCCGTCCCCAGGATGCCGACCCAGGAGCAGAAGGAATACCACATCATAGTCTGCTAAGAACTCTCTCAGTGTGCCATAGATGACCTATTCTTCATGTAGAGGATCATTACCAGTGATGAAACCCGGGTGTATGGGTACAACCCTGAGATGAAGCAACAGTCTTCACAATCGAAGAGCCCAACATCTCCACAACCGAAAAAGGCAAGGCAGGTACACAGCTCGACCAAGTGCATGCCCATTGTCTTTCTCAACATTCATGGCGTTGTGCATGGAGAATTCATCCTCAGGAGCCAGACCATCCTCAGATGCCAGGTTTTAAGGCATCTGAGGGAGTACCTTCAGTGGATCTGTGGTGTGCAAAATTGGATGCTCCACAAGGACAATGTACCCTATCAACGAGCTCTCCTCATATGTGAATTTCTCACCAGAATGAACATGATCTTATTTCCACATCCACCCTACTTGCCAGATTTGGCTCCTGCGGACTTTGCCCTCTTCCCGAAAATGAATATCAAGTTCAAAGGTCACCATTTGAGATCCAGCATAAATTGTAGAAGATGCTTGGCTGATTAGCAGTTTGTGTTACCAAGAAATTGAACAGGTGGACCTAATAAAGTGGTTAGTGAGTGTAGAAGACCTATTGAACCTGCCAATGGATTTGTATTTCTTGTCATCCAGTCCTGAGATTTACACAGCTCTGACAAATGGCACAGCTCTGTCTGGCAGGGCAGGGAACCTTATTTATCCTTGGTGCGGTTCAGTAACAATTGCAGGTTTGAGCCCTCCCCTGATTTGGGATTGAACAGTTAAAGGAGAAGCAGCACAGACTTGAGGGATGGCATTAAAAGCTGTAGTATTGTAGGAGGAGATAGACTGCCCCTTGTTTAGTCTTTTTTTGATGCACCAGGAAATGGAATGTCAATGATACAGTTATACCATTGTTGTATTGTAGACATCGCGCCTGCTGTGGGTAATACTTGGGTCCGGTGTGATAATACTGCCAAAATACATCATCGGTGAAGATCTCTACATCTCGACCTTCCCCTTGGTGAGGACCTGTTGGCCATGTACAGGGTGTTCTGTCATGAGGACTATCTAGTGATATAATGCTGTTCTCTTATATCTCATCCTGAAGGTTTTTCTGGTTTTATTATCCACCATTACTGGCATCTTCCTATTACCGCTGGACACCAGGAGCAGTGTGAGTACACCGCATGGCAAATACAAATGAGAAATGAACTGAGTGCACTACATGGAGAATAGTACGTCTTCGAGCAGAATGAGGATTATAAAGGAAGTCCAGTCAAGAAGATACAGTTTATCTTTAAGGGAAACAGCAAAGGGCGCCAACTAAGTGCAGGATATAGGAATAGACTTTATTATAAATAACAAGGAGCAATTCACAAGATGCACAGGGATAAGAACATGTCATCCACTCAGTGTGGTTTGGGGTTAAACCTCAGTGTGTCTTCAGGAGACAGGAAGCAGATGCAGCTATCAGAAGCTGTTTTGAACACCAGAAACAAAACCATAAATCCTGGAGCCACCCTGGAGTGCACGGGCTGCGTAGGACCAGACTGTAACTGCTCCTTTTTCAAGCCTCAGCAGTTACACTCTGAAACATGTAGCCCCCCCCCCCGCCCCCCAACACTGCCGCCTTCCCAAGTGCAATCTTGAGTCCTATGCAACTGATGCACTGCATGGTGGCTCCAGGACTTCCAGTTTTGTTTCTGGTGTCCTACACGGCTCCTAACAGCAGCATCTGCTTCCTGGCTCCTCTTATTCTTGTGCATTTTGTGAGTCACCACTTGTTAGTTTTAATATTGTCTTTTCCTATATACTGCACTTAGTTGGCGTCCTCTGCTGTTTCCTTTATATATTTGTCTCTTCCTCCCATGCTCTTCTCCAGGACTTCTCCAGAGCCTCCCCCATCCTCTGAAACTCTCTTCCCCAATTTATCAGACTATTGCCTACTCTGCCCACTTTTAGGCGATCTCTGAAAACCTAACTCTTCAGGGAAGTCTATCCTGCCTTCAGCCAATAATGGATTCTTCTATTCCTTCTACTAGTTCATCATCCACAGTTATTACCTTTTGTACCACCAGCCCCTGACTCTTAGATTGAAAGCTCCCAGGGTCAGTCCCTCCTAACCCTCTTGTATTGAACTGTATTGCTGCTGTATTGTCTCCCTTTATTTTGTAAGGTGCTGAGTAAACCTGTTGGCGCCATAAAATCCTGTAAAATAATAATATTTCTGAGATTATTTCAGTCCCACTGAGGAGCTGCCATGGATCTATTTGGACCTAGGGACTTTTTAGTATAGTCCTACACACCCACAACGCATTCATGTGTATGATGATGTTGTAGCCTAACTGTATCCCTGCCTGCGCCATTCTCAATAATTTGCTGCGTTTCAGTTTATCTCTAGCCAGCTTTAGTTAGCATAGTCATAACAAACCCAATGGCAGTTTTTGTCTGTGACCCACCGTGGAAATTCCTTCCTATCCCTATAACACAGCAGAAAGTAAGAGGACATTGCCCTAATTTGAGGGGAAATCCTCCTTCATATAGTTGTCACCCATCTTTCTCCTACCTCCGGTTATGGTAACAACTTTAAAATTTTGGATTGTCATAAAATTCTTTCACGGTGATAAGGGTCACCAAGACTAACATGGTGGGTGAATCTATCCAGTAAAGTCATAGTGGGAAAATAAAAATCTGACAGGGGTTCTAACCCTTCCACACTCTATTTAAAACTGGAAAAAAAAAATAAACATTGTTTGGTGTGCTCCTTTAAGTGATATGTACATTCTTCTCACCATTCGCTCCGGCTGTGCAGCCTCCGGTCATCGGAATCTTCTCCCGGTGCTCAGAGTGCATATACCTGGCTGTCGGACATGCTCAGAACTACAGGAAAGGTGGTTCCATTCTACATCACCAACAACAACTCCTCGGAGTTCAGGGATCGGGTCTCAAAATGTTCCTTTGCCATATTGTATCACTCCAAGACCAGGGGGAGGCTCAACATCACCGACGTCACCGACTCCCTCTATGACAACGAGGTCACACACATGTCAAAAGCCTTGGGTGAGTTCTTATACATTTTTATAAATGATCATACAATTTTTTTTTAACATGAATTATTATTTAATTATAGTTATAAATTGTAGTATTAAATACCAATAATGATTGTCCGATTTAAAAATGAGGTAAAGTGTCAATAAACCCAAATTTATTTTTGCATCATTGGCTTTAAAATGAATTGCTCTTTCTGTACGCTCAACATTTCTTTCATTACTCTAGTCTTAGAGAGTCAGAGTCAATAGACAAACTATTGATAGGTTGCCAGCGGGAAGTATTGATAGTATAATAGATAAGTATGTCACAATATTATGTAGTAGTAATAGTATAATGTATTGATAGTATAATAGATAATATTGATAGTTTTGTCAAAAAAATCTTAGATGGGCATCTTAGTGCACTCAATATACAGGGATATGGGATATGATCTATGAGCACATACACACCCACACAGGTTGAATTGGATGGACTGGAGTCTTTATTCAACCTTACCAACTATGTAATTATGTAAATACCCGGCTGATTCTGTCATTTTTTTTTCTTCCTTATTCGGATTGGTCATGCTAATTCAGCCGATCCTCCATCTTCAGCATTGCCACTCTCTCTCTAGTTTTCCTTTGGAAGGAAGCCATGTTCTATTCTGAGCCCTTATATTATATATATTAAAAAAAAACACATCCTTGGTTTACTTTTAGACATGCATGCTCCTCTCTGCTGGGCACTGGGTATTGCAGACATTAGCTGTGCAATCTGCTAATCACTCTATTAGAGTGTAATTAGGCAATTGATGAGCAGATTACACAGCCAAATTAAGCCAGTAGCACCCAGTGCACAGCAAGAAGGGGCATGTGCATATAAAGCAGGGGTCTCCAGACTTTCTAAACAAAGGGCCAGTTTATTGTCCTCCAGACTTTAAAGGGGCTGGACTGTGTTCATTGTAAATAGAAATTGTCCTGGCATCAGTGGGAGTAAACATTGCATCTTTGGTATTAGGAGGAGGAATAATGTGCCTTCATTGGTGTCAGTGGGATAAATAGTTCCCCATCATTGGCGTCAAAGGGAGAAATACTGCCCCGTCATTGGTATCAGTGGGAGGAATAGTGCCCCATCATTGGTATCAGTGGGAGGAATAGTGCCCCATCATTGGTGTCAGTGGGAGGAATAGTGCCCCATCATTGGTATCAGTGGGAGGAATAGTGCCCCATTGTTGATGACAGTAGCAGGAATTATGTCCCATTGTTGGTGTCAGTGGGAGGAATGGTATCCCATTGTTGATGTCAGTAGCAGGAATATTGTCCCATTGGTGTCAGTGGGAGGAATAATTTCTTGTATCAGCGGAAGGAAAAATGGACCCAACGGCTGAATAAAGGCAATCAGGGGGCCACAGTTTCGAGAGCACTGATATAAAGGAAAAACAAGTATGTGTTCTTTCTCATAATGCTCAGCTGCCAAGCTTTATCACACACTGAAGCTGATCTCTGCATCACTATTGTGTTGTGAGTGGTGGAGGTACATGGGACACATCACATAACCTCAAGATAAAAGTAGGCAAAAAAGGTTATCTGAGTTTAGAAAACGTTATGATGTTTTTTTTTTTTTTTACATCACTGAAAGCTAAAAAAAAAAAAGAACTTTAGAAGATTTGATTTTGCATTATTGCAACACAATTCTGTTTGATTCTTGATAATGGGGATGGTTCAGTATTTTATTGAGAGTTTTTCTGCCTGGATTCCAAAATCTTTTGCAGAAGTCACTGCTGTGATCATTGACATCTCATGACATTTTTATTCCACCACACAGGTAAGGAGAAGGTTCTGGTTATGATGGATGATGTGGACGACAGCAGCGATTGGGCAAAGAAGAACATTCTCCATAACCAGCCGACCATCCTTAACCAGACCAGAGACCTCTATCTCTTCACCAGGGAGGAGAAAGAGAATAAGGAACGGATCAAAGAGAAGCTGCAAACCCATCCTGAATACACTCACTCGGGGTAGGTCTGAGGAATCCTCCAGCGCTGAGGTTGGGAAACATGAGAATGTGCTGAAGGCTATGGCGAATGGTAGTGGAGGGTCTCTGGCTTGAACCTAGACATAACATATATGTAAACGTTTGTAGGTCACCTCACAAGGGTCCCATTAATTTCTACAGTTCCACCAGCAGACTAGTCCTGAGGACTGAATGTTGTGTTGTAAAATGTAGCATAATAGACTATTTTTTTCTGAATATTCTTTAATGTTTCTGTCAAAATGGGAATCATGTAATATCTGTTGGCACCCAGTTATGTCGCCTATGTCAAGGCTTTAGTCTTGTTGGGCCTTCGGGTACTGATTTCCAGAAATGGGTTGCACAGAAGAACTCTTAGAAACATTATCTAGGGCTTACAAGAAGGTTGGAAAAATGTTAATCTACTAAAGTCGAACACCACAGCAGCATGTGATCAATCTCAAGGTGTTAAACTAGGACCATGTTTAATGTCTATTTCCTGGTCCCTAAAGCCAGCACCAATTCGGAGCTACATTCTACTCATAACTCTTCTCAAACTCACTGCACAATGAGGTCTGATGTCCTGCTGAGTGGCATTGAGATGCCTTAGGCTCAAGAAATCTTGAATTTCTTGAATCTCAAAATCTGACCCATCTGGCTATTCAGGAAGAGCTAACAACTGGCTAGCTCTACATTGTAGATCCTCCAGTATAGACTATATGATCCATGCCTTGGCTCTGGTCATGTTACCAATGAATACTGGAAGATCAGATTCCAGCTATTGCCGTAAAGGGAATGCTCTTCGGCCTTATTTGTTTATCATGGACACCAAACCTTAGCCAGTAGTAGCTGGTCACATTCAACTGGACTTGTTCTGTAATGTTGGTGTCATTTCTATACAACCTCTTCAGTTCTAATTTGCTCCAGAAACATATCCCAACATTTGTAGCCACCTGTCTAGCTCAGTCAAAATAATCCAATCACCATGGAATGTGTATAAAATCAGCTGGCTATAATTACATGATCCCATCCCATTGTGCCCTGGAGTCTGTAGCAGGTGTTAATCATTCAATTTACATGGTTAATGGTGTGAATTGTTGCCATAATGTCAGGGTAAAAATTTTTTAAATATTATATGTGGGAGACAGGAGGTCCCTAACTATTGTGATTGCGAACCAGTTTTCTCTCATTCCAAAATGTGCACCTCGCTGCTTGTAGGTAGGTAGAGTCTACAGTCTTTATTGCAGGTGGCACTTGTCCGTAATGGCTATGCAGCTGGAGGAGGAAGCCGGGAGACACTGGGTTGACCCTGGCAGCCATCTTGGGCCATGCAAGTCACATTCCGTTCTCCTTTAAGTCAGATGTTGTCTTTAGCTCAGGACTATACACTACTACACTTCTCTCTACTCTGGACTGTTATAAGTGTCCTGGTCAGATGTTCTTGTACTGTTTTACATGTTCTGCAATATGTTGTTTTTGGCAATCTGGAACTCTGTGTTTCCTGCCACCATGCTGCACCTGTTAAGTACACTTCTGAATGAAGGACATCAACTCCAATTCAGTTGCATTCATCTGTTATAAGTTTACTGAAGAACTTACAATGTACATTGGATCACAATGCATGCAGAACAATGTGATAACAATAATTACATGGAAAAGCCTTTTTATATCATTCTTACACAATGATTTCCTATGACGGGCATAACATCAAATCACAAGAAATTCCTACCTGGTTGTCTCAGCACAAACTTGGATCACTCTGACCTCTTGGACAAGATAAAGGTTACTTGTCATAATTACTCAAACTATAATTACACATAAGGGGGCAAGGGATAATAAAATAGTGATTTCTGAGAAATGATCATGATTGTCCAGCCATATCTCTCCATCTCCGCCACCCCCCTCTGCCAATCCCTCCACTGGCTTCCGATTGCGCAACGGATCAAATTCAAAATCCTAACACTGACGTACAAAGCCGTCCACCATACTGCCCCGAACTACATCACTGACCTAATATCCAAGTACCGCCCAGCACGCACACTCCGCTCCTCACAAGACCTCCTTCTCTCTAGTTCCCTGGTCTCCTCCTCCCATGCCCACCTCCAGGACTTCTCCAGGGTGTCACCCATCCTCTGGAACTCCCTGCCCCAACCCATCAGATTATCACCTACCCTCCTCTCTTTAGGCGCACCCTGAAAACCCATCTCTTCAGGGAAGCCTACCCCACCCCCTGCTAACTTGCCAACCTCCTCCACTCTGCCTACCACTCCATCCCCCACAGCTATCTCCTCCTGTGCCACCATCCCTCCCTCCTAGATTATAAGCTCGAAAGAGCAGGGCCCTCAATCCCCTCATGTTTTGCATTGTATTGGTATTGTTCTGTCACATGTTCTGTCCCCCTTTGTAATGTACAGCGCTGAGCGAACTATTGGCGCTTTATAAATACTGTATAATAATAATAATAATAATAATATCATTTCTCGGAAAATAGAAACCACATCTGTCCCAACAACAACAACAAGGTATGGTACAAAGGTTATATAATACCAAAATAATTAAAGAGCAGAAAAACAAGAACAAAACAGTTATACAAGAGGAACATTGAATATATCTTTGAATATACAGTATATGTGTATATAGATGATATGATGGTCTGACTCCATTTTGTTTTTTCATCTTTACACACCCACCCAACATGCTTTTAAAAGAATGTTCCATTTCCTTAAGCTGTAGGAAGACTGATAAGGTTTGACCCTTAGAAGTTGCTCTTCTACTTTGGGTCATTTCATTTTTTCATTGGGGTATTGTTTTGTCTCTCCAATGTTCAAGTCTTTATATTCTTTGCTACCAGCACTGCATACACCAGGTTATTTCCCTTGTGTTTGGGTGTTGGGTCTTTTGGATGTACAAGCTTCTCTCTCAGAGTATTGTTGGGCTTGAAGGATGTAAGGATGAGATGTTTGTAAAGATCTGTGTTTTTCTGAAACTCCAGCTACATACGGGATGACTGTATTAACCAATGTGTTTTGCTTTTCCCCTCTCTCCAATGGTCCAGTGTGTTTGCTTGACTTTGTGGATGAAAGCCCAATCCATATAGCAATAATCTTTCAGAGCTCCTGTGATGTTTGCGTTTTTTTTTGTCTTTAGAGCCTGTCTTTATTATGACTGTCTCAGCCCAGTGTTGCAGAGTTTTAATAAACCCCAGTTTGAGTTTAAGGGGATCGTGAGGGTAAAAGAACAGATACTGGTCCTTGTGGGTAGGTTAACACAGACTTCCTGGCTCCATGGTAATCTGTTTATGTAATCATAACAAGGTGATTTCATAAACTTCCATACCTGCCATCATATTCTTGGACAACCAACATCTGCTTTGACACAACCCATGGTGATTGGATAAGGGTGTCTGTGCTATTTATGTGGACATACGTGCTGGGGTATCGTCCTCAGAGAAAGTGGCTTGGAGAAGCTACAAATCATCTTCAACATTACAGATCAATGTGTCAACGACCACCACCAATTATACAATGACCCGGATCAATGACAAACTTCAAAGAACACACCAAACTTTACATTATACTTTTTTTTTCATTGTAGTAAGTCCAATGTAAATGGTATGTAAGGAGATTTCTAAAAATATACATTTTGTTTTCCTTCTTCAGCGTCATCCAGTTATCTGATATTAGATGTGGTAAGTATAGCAGATGTGGTGAGTACGTACAGAGCGAGTCTATAGGCCAGATTATATTGTGTATTTTTCAGAGTGTTCTTGATTAATATTCCCATATTGTGGATCATCTTTCAGTTTCCTATGTTTTTTTTTTTACCATGGTAGACAAGGCAACTCCACTTTCATTGTTGTACTAGGTACAGTCTATTAGGATCTAATCCATCCGAAACAGGGTGATCTTCAATGACTGCTATCATGGGACTACAGAGGGTTCGGTTTGTTACAGCTCTGTCCTGAGGTTAGGGAGAGATTAGACTCCAGTGGTGCTGGAAAGCTCATGCCTTGTCCTGATTTAATTGAATCAAACAACCATTTTGGGTGGAGTAACTCAATATGTAGAGATTTCCTGAAAAGGGGCATCTTGGACATCTTTCTCTCCATGTCCATTTTTCAATTAATTTTGCTTGAAAACCCATCTTCAGGGGGAAGCCTCCCCACCCTCATCTAACTGTCGCTTCCTTCATTCCTCCTACCACTCCATCCCCCACAGGCCACTTCCTCCTGTACCATTCCCTCAGATTGTAAGCTCGAAACAGTGTCTATGCCTGCTGTTTGTATTGCTCTACTTTTCATGTTTGTCCCCCCATGGTCTATTGTACAGCGCTGAGCAAACCCTTTGGCGCTATATAAACTCGATGTTGTATCCTATTCTACAGGTAGGGATTCTCATCCTGTATGTGCCATGGATTCGTTATTACATCAGTGTTTATCACGTGAGTAAATGTTTCAGTTTTGTATCTGCTACACAGCTGGGTTCATACAGTTTGATGGTTCCAAAGTACTGAACTGACAGCAACCAATCAGAAATCTGCTTACACTATATCAAATTAATTTCTGTGTTACTAATCTTAGCAGTTTTGTCCACTACTCTCCTCTAAAGAAAAAAATATACACAGGATGGCCATGAGTCAGTTGACCCCTGACCTGACCATCATACTTCTATGAGCTTGTTGGACATTTTTGTTTCAGAACCTTGGCCTTTAATATGGAATTGCCTCCCTTTGCATCTTAAATCTTTACCAGTCTCCATTCTTCTGGGAAGACTTTCCACCAGATTTTGGAGGATGTCTTTGGGAATGTGTGTCCATTTTTGAGGTCATGTGCTGATGTTGGATATGAAGACCTGGCTCACAATCAGCATGCCAATTCCTTCCAAAGGTCTCAGTGGGGTTGGTCACACCATGTCTTTATGGAGCTGGCTTTGTACACAGAAGTACAGTCACCTGGAACAGAAAAGGGTCTTCACCAAACTGTTACTGAAAGGATGGAATAGCACAATTTTCTGCCATGTCTTTTTATGACATTGCATTGTATGCAGGAAGGTAAAAAACCTGTATGCAGCAGCCCTCCCTAATACTCAGCTGCACCCCCTCTCAGTTCAGCGATCTGCACAAGAACCATGGCTTCTCATTGGCTAAGACAGCAGTGGTAGCCATTGGCTCCCATTGCTGTCAATCACAGCCAGTGAGCCAATGAGAAGAAAGCAGGGGATGGGGCCCGAGCCATAGCTCTATGTGTATTATGGGCGCATAGAGCTTGGCTGAGAGCAAGCACGCACCAGTGCCCCAATAGCAAGTTCCTTGCTATTGGGGGCACTGGTCAAGGGGGGGGAGCCAGGTGGAGCCAGGTGGACCCAAAAAGAAGAGGATCAGAGCTGCTCTGTAGAAAACCATTACACAGAGCAGGTAAGTATGACGTTTATTATTTTTTTTTTTAAAAGCCAAAACTTTAGTACCACTTTAAATGGAGATATCTCACTGCCAGAGTCATCAAGAGATGTAAGATCCTGGACTACTTCTTTATCATCCACCAGATGCAGAGTTTTCACTTCTAGGCGTGGTAGCCCTTTAAATACAATAAATATTGTATATACAGTAAATAAATCCATATTGATACAATGTAAATATATCGTTTTGTTTCTCTGGTGTATAGGGCGCTACCTTGATATTATCTAATATTGGTGGTTCATTGCTGCTCTCTGACTTCCGGCATCCCTCCAGATTGGTGAGTAAATATAATAATATAAATTGTTCTCGAATGACCAGAATCGAGTGGATTGAACATATACAGTCAGATTGGATGTACATAATTGTAGTTAATTTATTCTTTTTTTGGGGGGAGGGGGATTTGTGCTACTAGGGACGATCGGGGGGATTTGTGCTAGGACTGAGGATTTCGAGGGGAAATGGGGGGGGGGGGGGTTGTGCTAGGATTGAGGATTGTGCTAGGAGGGAGATTTTTTATTAGATTTGGACTGGAGAGAGTGGATTCAAGCTAGGAAAAAGGTGGGGGGGGGCTCATACATCTGGGGGGGGGGGGGCATTTAACAATCTAGCACCTTCACCCTGGTCTGTAGATGACCTTTTCCCAACCCTGCTTGAAATCAGTAAAGCTACAGAGTTAAAGTAGATGTAAACCTGAATAAAAGGTCATTTGCTCTGTGCACCATGTATCTTAAACCAATACGGAGATTTTTTTCCTCGCAACATCTGTTTTTCACCTTTTTTTATTCATCCCTTTTCCCATCTTTGTTTCTGATCTCCTCCAACCTCCTTCAGCCACTTCCTAGTCTACATGCACTCGCCACAGTTTCAGCTGCACAGCATTACTATAGCCTAGCTTCCTTGGGCAATTTGTACTAGTTTGGCCACTTTTAGTTTTCACCAGAGGAGCATGTGACAGGGTGACAATGCAGGATCACAATTAGGAGATACTGTAGGTGTCACCCCATAACAGCACGGTTGGCAACATCTTAAAATAATTAGGAAGGGCATCCTGAAGGGAACACTATTGGACATGGTCAATAAAATGGACGTTACTTCCTGGCTTATGGCTTGTAGTGTGGCACCCTTCCCCCTTTGAACCCCTTGGAGAAAAAAGCTGTATCTGGTGCTGCTGGCATGGAACAAGTATGTAGGCAGTGAATCAGAACTCTTTATCTGCAAATGGATTCATGAAAAAGGTAAGACCAACGGGTAAACCCAACAGTCACGCATCTAGGAGATTGGTGTTGGCATCCTCCATATTATTCTCAGTGTCATCTCATGGGTTCAACAAACACATCTCAATCAGCTGAGCTGCTCTTTAAAGTCAGCGCTAGGGAGGGATTAGGGGAGGGGCCTCTGAAGTTAGAAATGACTGTTTTTCCCCACGACAGCCAATTGGATTCAAGCTTTCATTTCCCAGTAAAGTTTACTCTCATTGGCTGCTCTGAGGCAATATGGACAGTCTTTACTTTGGAGACTCGGATAGACAAGGTCTATCGTATCAAACGGTAGAACTGGTGTTAGTGAGAGGCTTTATCAGTTGTTACAAGAAGTAAATCTTTAGATCCAAATGAAAAAATATATCAATATTGAGAAAAAATAATAATATTAAAATGAATAACAATTGTCTTTCAGGACTTCTCAAAGACAGGCCTCCTCACTCTTCTGTTGGTGATGGTGTTGGAATTATTGGATGTGAATTGGTATCAGCCAGTCGTGCAATATGTAAGTGTGGGATATCTCTGCGTCATTTATTAAATATACTTTTCATTCTCTCAGTAACAATTTCTCTTTTTTATCTTTCTCATATAAAAGGTCTTTTTTATTGCGCAGTTGGTTTCCTCATTGCTGTACGCATAAAAAACCACGAGTGTAAGTAAATCACCATAAAAGGGGCAAAATGATGGCACAAGTAGTAAGTGAACTTTCCAGCCCTGCTGGCTGCTTTGCAGAGATTATATATTTGAGGTTTACCAATTATTGATGTGATCTCTTATGGTGTCCTGTAATAAATGTAAATGGGAAAGTGAGTGATATAGTACAACCTCCCATTGGAGAACATCATCCCTGTAAAAATTACTACTAAAACTGTTTATTTAGAAGGGACTTCAAATATATCGCCAATGGATAAAACAAACAAAAGCAACTATCTTTAAAAATGTATACATTGTCATTTTTATACATTACAAATATAACAAACAAAATCTTTAAAAACACCAAGAAAAGACACCAGTGGATTGTATGAACAATGGTGACTTGGATTGTAAAGTCCCTGGAGACTATTGATTTCAGGTTGATGCGTTTCATGAGAAACCCACTTCCCCAGGACCTCAGATCTACACCAATAGATAAGTCACTATAATGGTCTCAAATGAATACATATTAAACATTATGCACAAACCTATACAAGATCTTTTGAACCCTAACACCAGTAATTACATATAACTACTTTTCAAAAATACAGTTGTTTAAATATCCAACCACCTATTATAATGTTTATAATCAATGAGATAGTTGAAAATCTCAACCCTTAATAAATATATATGTATGTATATACGACTACTAACATTCAATCACATGTGTGTTACCACATGCATATGCAAATTCCCACATATCTATACAAAGTTACATAGTTAGTCTGGCTGAAAAAAGACAAAAGTCCATCCAGTTCAACCATAAACAAAAAAGTTATAATCCTACACCCACAGTTGATCCAGAGGAAGGCAAAAAACCCAGCAAAGTATGATCTAATTTGCTCCTGCAGGGGAAAAATCATTTCCTGATCCCCCGAGAGGCCATCGGATATTCCCTGGATCAACTTTCCCTATAAATGTTATATCCAGTTATATTCTGTGTATCCAAGAAAGAATCCAGACTTTCCTACAGCAATCCACTGAGCTGGCCACACCCAACTCTGGAGGGAGTCTATTCCACATTCTCACAGCTCTTACTGTGAAGAAACCTTTCCGTGTTTGGAGATTACATTTCTTTTCTACCAGACGCGCAAAGCGCCCCCTTGTCCTCTGTGATGACCTCAGGGGGAATAACTACACCGAGTT